CCTTGGATGAACGAGTAGCCAAGAGCAGGTTAAAATTTATTTATACATTTTGACCAAAAACATTAATCAAACAAACCAGATCACCGAGACCAAAAGCCAAAACCAAAAGGTGCTGAAAGCCAAAAAAGCCGTCCGGGGGCCATTGTTTCTAATCGCAAACAAAATCAATTTAGTAACGCGGTGATTGTCGCTCTAATTACCTCCCAAGTTGACAAAATTTATCCTTTTGAGGTCGAGATTGTTTGTGAAAGTCAGAAAAGCAAAATTCTCACCGACCAAATTTACACGGTTGATAAAAGCAGATTAGAAAGAAAAATGGGTCAATTAACTGAAAAGCAATTAATTGCTCTTGCCCCAAAGGTCTCCACATTGTTTTGAATTGGAAGATTAACGTTTAAGTAGAATTCTGCACTTTTTAGACAAAAAACAGTTAGGTCAGGTTGAGTGTATTTTCACCGCCGCGATTTATTTTTAGTTGGTGAATGATTTTCGGGATGTTGAAACATTTTTGCTCTGAATAATTGGTTAGTTTGATTAATGTTTTTGGTCAAAATGTATAAATAAATTTTAACCTGATTTTGGCTAATAATTCAGCTAAGAAAATCAATTATTAGTTAAGAATTGAGGGATTAAAATTTACCAGTTTTTTTTTGCTAAGCAAAAAGAGCAACCACCAAAGCCGCCAGCGAGTAGAGAAACCTCTTTTTAGAGGAGTTATTTTATTTTTAATCTAATTACCGAAAAGTCGACTAAAAAATGACCCCGATCCACCAAAAGCTCGACCAAATTCTCCTCAAAGGGAATCTCTTCTTTGCTCCGCTTGCTGAATATTTGCTCGTCATTCTTGGACTTGTTGATTGCTTTGGTTCCTTAGATTAGTTTCCCGCGAACTAGCACTGGAATTAATTTGGTCTTCTAAGTCTTGCCTTTGTTTTTTAAGATTAATTTCCCTCTCTAATTGTTGCTGCTTTAACAATAATTCATCATTTTCTCTTCGCAAGTCCAATTCTCTGCGAAAAGCCGTTTCACGTTTATTTCTTGCTTGCATTATCTGATTAATCATATCTTGTTTTTGTCGTTCTTGTTCCCGAATAGCTTCTTCCATTCTGCGGGTTCTCTCCCTAGCCTGCTCGGCAAACTCTCGACTTCATTCTTCCAGCGTGTAAGTTTTAGCATTACGCAAAGTAAAGTTATAATCATTAGTGCCGCAGGTCGGGCAATAAATATGCCCAATAAAATCGGATTGGTAATTTGAAACAAACTCTCCTGACTTATTGTAAACTTGAATGTTATTATCGTGTCCGTAGCGGCAAACTGGTTCGCCAACTTGGACGTTATTAAAACTATTTCTAATTTGGCTTAAATTACTTTGACAAGCACTATTAATTTGGTTAAGAGATTGGTTATAAGCTGCTTGTGATTGGCGAAGTTGTTCCTGATTAACTTCTTCTAGTTCTTGCCGCGTGGTTTGAACTTTTTTTTCATTTTGGCTTTGTAATTCTTTGGACTTGCCTTTCGAAATTCCGACCGGTAATTCTTAAATCACGAGCTTTTTGTTGTTG